TAATGATTTTCCTTAAGAAAATAAAACTGAACACGGCTTGCGCTTGTTTGAATATTCTACTGCGGCTATCCTAATTATAACCATAATTAAAGTTTTGGGATATAATACATATTATATTAAGTATTAAGTAGGGATGCAACATAAATAAAACATCGATAATATTGGGTCCTTACGTATGAAATTAGCGTTTTGTCGTACTGACCAATTTGATCTGAAATATCTCCTCTTTGGTTAGGAATTCCAAATTCAAATTTATAAATTCATTTAGCTGGTACATTTAAGTTTTGAAAACAGTTTCAGTCATTTGTTTTGTCGCATAAATTTTTTCTTTGGCGTCGCTTATTACCGCACAAGGGAAAACATGAAATATCGGTATATTTACGAATACGAGTTCTACCATGGCACCAGTGCTGCAGAAACAGCTCGAAGAATTAATGATGTGTACGGTGCTCGTGTCGCAAAAGGAAGCACGGTACGTTTTTAGTTTCAACGTTTTCGTTCTGGAAATTTCGACCTTCAGAACCAACCCCGTAGACGGCCGGAGAACAAAGTGGAAAATGAAGAATTAAAGGCTGTTGTGGAAGCGGATCCATCACAAAGCACTTCAGAGATAGCTGCAGGCTTCGGGGTAAGTGATCAAACTGTATTAATCCACTTGAAGCAAATCGGGAAAGTAAAAAAAACTTGAACGATGGGTACCTTATGAATTGAGTGAAACGAACTTGCAAACACGCGTCGACTGCTGTGTTACTTTGCTAAACCGACACAAAAATTAAGGGATTTTAAATCGAATCATTACTTGTGATGAAATGTGGATACTGTACGATAATAGGAAGTGCTCGTCACAATGGCTGAACCCTGGAGACCCAGCCAAATCCTGCCCAACCAATCAATGAACTACCTATGAGATGGCAGAAGTGCATAGATAACAACGGTGCATACTTTGATTAATTAAATATATTTTACGAAAAATATACTTTATATTCTTCCCGTACAAAACGCTAATTTCATATGTAAGGACCTATTTATATATATATATATATATATATATATATATATATATATAATATATATATATATATATATATATATATATATATATATATATATATATATTAAAATGTCCTCCAGACCGAATTTCGGACACGGCGGCCTGCCTCAACGGAGGCTAGCCATCGGCGCAGGACAGGATTATAGTGCCCAAGTGTAAAGTGTGCAAGCACAGGTGCACTCTCTATTCCCTCACTCTTATTATCCGATCCGGCTTTACGTGCTTTCCGAAGCACGGGGGTGAGACAGCACCAACTTCCTGACTCCGGGCAACTACTGAGAATTTCTTGACGGAAAAACTTAATAACTAGTTTTTTGGCCCGACCCGGGATTCGAACCCAGGACCTCATGATCAGCAGCAGCACTACTACATCCACTAGACCAACGAGGCAGTATATATATTTTTTTTTTGAGGTGTAGCGATAATCGGTATAATATAGCCTGCTACAACGCGAAATTATTTGTATATTTTAGTACTGTAAATTTAAGAATTTATTGAAAAAATTATTATGGGTATGTGAGATTGTGGTAAATCAAACATGCTAAGAAGTTACATCTCCCAATTCGATGCAACCCGAGAACAATAATTTTGAAAGTCTTCTTCTAAGCAGTCGGTTCCGGTTCTTTCGGTGCGAGGTTTGAAGTACATGTGTTTGCAGATTTTTTAACACCTTGGTAACAAATATCATAAATCACAATTTGCCTCTTCATTTAAAGTTGTCCCACAATTTGCATTTATTTTTTATGTATGATAATTCCGAAAGAATAGTTTTATTTTCAAAACAAGCAAAACAAAGCCCAGTCCAGGACAAATGTTTTGTGCGCTCCTTTGTCACCGTTAATCTATAAAAAATAGCAATGAATGAACAAGTATAGTTTATTTTTAACAGGTGTCTGGTGATAACGGTATTTAGTCATATTGCCATGAATATTTAAATATTTGTGCTCTTCCATTCATTTATAAAGTGTTAAATATTTTTATTACATACAATTTAGATTCTATCGAGAGTAATGTTGATATTGTGGTTTTGATATTATCGATATCACTATCTTTTCGATGTATTGAGGCCTTCGTTAAAGGCTGTATGAAGCGTTAACAAAAAAGATAAGAGAATATGTTTGTACTTAATTACTTACCTATATGATAATATGGCCACAATATTATACTAGGTGTATTAACAATTATTATCATTATCATCATCATCATCACAGCCTATGAAAAGTCCACTGGTGAACACTGGCCTTCTCCATTGGCAGGTACTTTTGTACGTGTTAAAGTCACGCTGCAGCTATATTATGGTTGTAGCACGAATGGGTCGGCTCGACCGGGGACGGACCACGCTCTCACAGAATACTAGCGTAAAATATCAACTTAATACTACTGTGTGTTCGTGTGGTGAGTGTTCGTGTTGTGTTTAGAGAGTTCCGGAGACCCTTTTTTACTGGAAACGAGACATTCCATCTTAGTACTCAGGGGTGACAACGAATCTGCGTTTTGATTCTTAATCGAGATATTGGAAGAGGAGATGAACGAGCTTAACTGACATAACCCAGCACATTAGTAAGCTGAAGTGGCAATGAGCGGGCCGTAGAAGAAGAAGAACCGACAAACCGATGGGGAAGGAAGGTTAGCGAGTGGCAGATTCGTACCTACTGACAAGCGTAATGTTGGGCGATCCTTTCAAAAATCAACTACTTTTTATATAGCTGTCAAAGCCTCCCGGCTAACAGCACAAACATAAAATAATATTAACTGTTGCTTATTGTTGTTGCAAAAATTAACGATCGGTACCAACACAGTAACCGATGCAGCCCCGTCGTGATAGATAGCCGACATATTGATAGACAGCCGTAAGTTTCGCAGTTCGCGAGCAATTCAATTAGTTCCCTGTAAGCACATACGAAATGTGTTAATCGCAATTTTAGGTGCTAATTTACCACGTTCTCGGCGGTTTACGAAATAAAAAAAATCAAATACATGTAAAGTCTGCCCAACAAGCATTTCAGCAGCGCGACAACAGTGGAACGTGTATAGACGATAACTTTACTAACGCAGACCCGACACGAAGATCAGCTAAGACGGAAAAAAAATTGCAAATAATTATAATTTAATTACATATTTCGTTTAATGATTTATAACTATTGCTTCAAATTCAATTCTCATTCGTTTCATTCCTCGAGGTTAAAAATCAATGCATTTTGTAATGATAACGTAACCAATAAAAAGTTAATAATTGGTGAACTTTGCACACTTTATATGATAAATAATATATGAAAAGTCATTTAGGTTTCATTTTTCACATAAATTTGTTTATAACAGCAATCTGTTAATTGTCGATTCCACAATAACCTCGCGGTTAGCGCACGTCCGACATTAATACCGTCGATCAATTATGTGGAATGACTGAGTAAGTCACGTAGATGAGTTTCTACTATGTTGCCGCTCAGTGTGTGTAATTTATGGACTGATTTACGCCATTAACTTCGCCAAATGATTTGCTTGTATTTCCATTTTATTAACACTGTTTTTTATGCGGTTAAATTTTAATTTTACAATAAAATGAGATAAGATTTCAAAGTGCTTTACAATTTTTCTTCGAACAGCTCATTACATCTTATTTTAATTGATTATATATGATTTATCAATTTATTATATATAATGATATTTAATAAATTGATCAATTATTTATACAAAATTACAGAAAAATTTATTCGTTAAATCCATTATACAGTAAGAGTACATGGCTTTTGCCATATAAGAGCCATGCTGTAACTACACATGTAGTATTAATAGGCCTTCTACACGGTCCGGACCAACCACCAACCGTCGTGACCTTGGTCGGGTCAACCGATTTTTGTATTCGTTCTACACGGTCGGGTGGTTGACTCAACTAGTCAGTTGTCTCTAGTATTTAAAGAGTAAAGACGTAAGGTAGTTACTTTTAACTCCTTGCTTTTCTATACAACAAAAAATAGGTTTAGCTTTAACGTTTCTATGCTTGAATGAAGATGAAAAAAATAAAATGCATAAAATTGTGGCTGAAAGAGCGCATTACTTTAAACAAACATGACATGGTAAATCACAGTACAGTGACAAGAATTCGGTCAGGACCTCACGTTCTTTGCTTCCGTTCGTATCCATAGTGCCGTTAAACATCCGCCTACGACGACTGCTAAGCGCGCACTGAGGCGCTCTCGCCGGCCGACAGCGTTCCACAGGGTCGGCGTCAACCACGGACCCGACGTGTCGTGAGGGATGCGCTCGCGACCAAGGCCGTCGGACTCAACGAAAATATTGGTCATACAACCGATGCACACAGGAGTATTACACATAAAAAACGGGGCAAAATTGAAAATAGTGATGTTAATCCAACCGCATCCAAAATACATTTTTCTTTACCTACGATAACCGGCTTATTAAAAGGCAGACCCCCAACCCTCAACTCCCACGCATGTGGCTACAGCGTCAGTCGGAACCCAGTCATCGTAGTGTACGCGTGTCTATGTTCTCGGCGCTCTCGTTTGTGTTAATCAGTTTACTGTGATAAAATGGCTTCGTATAGCAAACAGCAGGAGATTAACTATTCGGACATGGAAATAGAAGGTTAGTACTATATGCTGAAGTATATTTTATTATGTTTCTTCCAAATTTCTACTTGTATAGCCATCAATAAACAGCGGAACTTTTTTTATGGTTTTTTAAAGAAATTTTAAATAAATTAGTGTTTTTGTTTACGTGTCGCGCCTTGTCGCCTCAAAATTTATATGTGGGCATAAAATGTAGACTCTAAGGAAGTAGAAACATGAATAAAAAGTCCCCCCCAACGTACCCCATATTTTTTATAGCACTTCAAACTATATGGGGAAGATTATAATTATATTGACAAAGCTAATTTTTTTGTTTTCTTTTGTCATAGATCCTTCGGAAAGAGTGAAAAAAAATCTCCAGAATGGAGCTTTATACCATTATCAAAGAGTTCAAAGGAAAGAAGATTGAAGAAAAATTTTCGCTGTTGGAAGAAAGACTTGTGCAACTAACTTCATGTCCACCCAAAGAAACAACGGTTCTTACCCGTTATTTAAAATATTTCAAGACCAGTTTCAAAGAAAGATGGTCGGCAGCCCGTAATACTGATAAGAGATTCGTAAAAAACAATATAGAATGGCTTAATGTATCACTGGAACTACCTACTTGGACCCACAAAGCAGGCCGACCAACAAAAGAATTGTGTGATCGAAGCAAGCGTCGAAGAACACAAGATTTACGGGACCGGGTACCTGTTGAGGAATTGACGTACGCTGCAAGAGTGAGTCAAGGTACTTCGGGAAATATTGATGCGTCTAAGATTATGAAAGAAATAACATCAACGCCAACCAGAGCTAAAATGTTCCGAAAAGCAATATCGTCAGCTAAAAACGTACCAATTGCGAGAAAATACACACCACAAGAAGCATTAGCGTTATTTGTAGAAGGTAATTTTACAAGAGGGCAGTGGGAATTATTACAAGGTGGCCGAAAAGAAATTTATCCTTGCTATTCGCTTTTACAAAAAGCGAAAAAGGAGTGTTATCCCGCCGAAGATAGCATAAAAGTTACTGAAACTAGCTTCGAAGTGGAACTTCAAGCTTTGCTGGACCACACGGCTTTGCGACTACTTCAGTATTTAAAAGAAGTGATTGGAACATTATCAGAGTTGGAGAAACAACATCTTACCTTAATATCAAAATGGGGCTGTGATGGATCTAATCAGACACAGTTTAAGCAGACATTTTCCAATACTGGTGACGATGATGCCAATATATTTTTAAGTTTTCTTGTACCTGTGAGAATGATTGTTTCTATTAATAGAGAGACAAGAAAAATTATATGGCAAAATCCAGTGCCTTCTTCGGTGAGATTCTGTCGTCCTATCCGGGCTCGGTTCATTCACGAAACAAAGGATATCACAAAGGAAGAAATCACCTATATTGAAGAACAAGCAAGGAATCTCAAAGAAACTACTGGTATGGAAGTTTCGGTTAAAATAAATCACAACATTTTGCTCACAATGGTCGATGGAAAGGTGTGCAATGCCGCGACTGATACGGCTATCAATATACGGCGGCATCAACAATGAGATGCTACATATGTGGACAAACATCTAAGGACTTCAATAAACTTGAAATAGGTAATGTTTGTGAAGAGTCTCTGAAATTTGGACTATCCATTCTGCACGCAAGAATTCGTTTCTTCGAGCTATTGTTGCACCTGGCGTATAAAGCGCCCTTACAGAAGTGGCAAGCCCGAACGGCAGAAGACAAAAATATTTTGAAAGAAACAAAACAGAAAATACAAAAAAGCTTCAAAGAAGAGATGGGCCTTCTTGTTGATATACCCAAAGTCGGTTACGGCAATAGTAACGACGGAAATACGTCGAGAAGATTTTTTGACAATCCTGAATGCTCATCTCGGATTACTGGAATAAATATAGATTTGATAAAAAAGGTTCCAAATCATTCTTGAAGTGATATCAAGTGGATATGATATTGATCCTGCGAAATTCGATGACTTTGCTCACACAACTGCCAAACTGTACGTGGAACTATATGGTTGGCATCCCATGTCACCTACAGTTCACAAGATTCTGATGCATGGCGCTCAAGTAATATCAAGTCACATTGTACTTATCGGACAGCTATCAGAGGAGGCTGCTGAAGCCCGGAACAAATATTTCCGTAAATATCGCGTAGACTTTGCAAGAAAATTTTCTAGAGTGGACTGCAACACAGATATTTTAAATAGGTTGTTGCTGACATCCGATCCTTTCATCAGCTGCAACAGAATAAAACGGAAGAAGAAAAGCAAGTCTTTTTCCCAGGAAGCTATTAGTATGCTTCTCACGAAAACACTGAATTGTGACAGTTCCAATGACGAAGATTATGAGGACCAAATCACCTGTGAACTCGGAGACAGTGATTCTGATTGATTCGGTCTCCTCATAATTATCCTCTTGAAAACAAATCCTGTTTTAAGAGTAAATACTCCCTTAGATTTGTAATTCTTTTTTTAATTGTTTTTCTTTTTAAATAAATGCTTAACTATGATGAATTATTGACCTTTATTTCATAAAATAGTAAAATAAAATATAAAATAATTTTGTCCGGTTTTTAATGTGTAATACTCCTATGTGCGATGTCTACACTGTCCATTTTTACTTCAACTCGACCAAGGTCACGACGGTTTGTGGTTGATCCCGACCGTGTAGAAGGCCTATTATACTTGTAGCACGAATGGGTTGACTCGATCGAAAACACTAGTATTCAGTAAATCAGAAATTAAAACATAACATTAGTGTCTTACATACGAGTACATGTAAAAAAGTAAAGTTACAGCCTACATACGTCCCACTGCTGGGCTTAGGCCTCCTCTCATTTCTGAGAGGGTTTTTTTAGGGCAAGGAAGTGTCTTCGAAATATTTTTTTTCTTATTCCTCAGTCATGCAGGTTTCCTCACGATGTTTTCTTTCACCGCCGAGCACGTGGTAAATCAGCACTTAAAATTGCGATTAACAATTTCATTGACATCGGCGGTGATCAAACCCGGGTTACTCGCGTTCTGTTATATTTACAGCGAGCGTTAACCATCTGAGCTACCACGGCTCCATACGAGTACATGATTAGGTATTAATTTTTTTTTTTCAAAAAATAAGGGTGACAAACGAGCACACAGTCCACCTGATGGTAAGTGGAGACTGTGGCCCGTAGACATCTACATTTATCCTCGATTAAGAATCATATGCGTTGTCACCCCTGAGAACTGAGATGGAATGCCTCGTTTCCAGTACAAAAGAAGCTCCGGATCTCTACACTCACCATACGAAACTTAGCCAGTATTAAGCTGCTATTTTACGCTGGTATTCTGTGAAAGCGTGGTCCTTCCTCGGTCGAGCTGAGCCATTCGAGCTACATCCATAATATAGCTGCAGCGTGGCTCTACCACGTATAAAAATATAATGTATAAAATATTAACAGTATTAATAATTTGGTGTGGACAGGGATGTGTTATGGCAAACGCTGAACGCATTTAGGTTGAGCGCTGGTTTGATACAGGCATTAAAGTCTCTGTATAGGGACTCGAGTGCTTGTGTTAGAATCAACGGGGTCTACTCGGACTGGTTTGGCATCCATAAAGGTGTCAGACAGGGCTCTGTAGCTTCCCCGTGGCTGTTCAACCTATTTATGGACAGCTGTTTGGAAAATTTGAAAGATGAAGAATGCGGGTTAAGAATGGGTGAGTTAACCATCAAATGCCTTTTGTACGCCGATGATCAAGTCATACTTGCGTCGTCGGCGGCCGAGTTGCAAATGATGGTTACATTAATGAACAGGTAATTAAAAGAAAGGGGAATGAAAGTGAACGCAAGTAAGACGAAAGTGATGGTTTTTGAAAGAGATGAAAGCAAAACGGTATGTGAAATAAGAATAGAAGGAGAGTTAATTGAGCAAGTGTATGAGTTCGTATATTTGGGATGTGTATTCAGCAGGGATGGGAGGTATGATAAGGATATTGAACGACGAGTGAATGCAGGAAATATAAAGTAAATGGGGCTCTACACTCTATTGTGAAAAGTCAGAATGTGTCAAAAAAGGCACGTATGGCAATTCACAGTGCTGTATTAGTCCCTACTTTAACGTATGGTAGTGAAAGTTGGGTGTGGCAGAAGCAGCACGAGAGTAGAATAAATGCAGTAGAAATGCGGTCGCTAAGGAGTATGTTAGGGCTGAATCTGAGTGACAGGGTGAGAAACTGTGTGATAAAAGAAGAGTGTGGTTTACAAGATGATGCGGTGACCAGAATTAAGAAAGGAATGCTTCGGTGGTTTGGTCATGTAGAAAGAATGAATGCGGAAAGACTGACAAAGCAAATATATGTTGCAGAAGTTAATGGAAGAGTCGGAAAGGGACGTCCTAGGCGGAAGTTTGTCGACCAAACTGGCGATATACTAAAAATGGGCCAAATTAAGAGTACCCTTAACCGACGAGCATGTATGCGTAGGTATATGGATGTGGAAGAGGCGAGAAAGGTATGTCAGGATCGTGCTAAATGGAAGTCTGTAGTCTCTGCCTACCCCTCTGGGTGACAGGCGTGAGTGTTTATGTATTATGTATTATGTAATAATTTGGATAGACTACCTCGTCGGTCTAATGATCCTTGGTGACACTGCTAATCATGTGATCTTGGATTCAAAACCTAGAATTAGGTTTTGAATCCAAGATCACACATTGCATTTTCTATCAAGATATTATCGGTACTAACCCGGAGTCAGAAAGGTGGCGTTTCATCCCGGTACCTCGGAGAGTACGTAAATTTATTAGTGCTTCGCTTAATCTCGTACTGGTCGTATCGGATGAATTGAGAGTGCAACTGTGCTTGCGCGCACACTCGTGAACTATAATCCTGTCCTGCCGTGTAGACAGACCACCATAACCGGTTTTCCGTTCCGGAGAATATTATTGGTATATACAAAATGCTGTTACTATCGAGGTGTCTTGTCGGTGCCTGTCTTATTGTCTGTCTATGTTCGTTTATGTTATATGGAACTCTAATAATCGTTTAGTTATGAGCAGTTCCAAGAACGTTGTACATTCTTACAGTTCCTGTGATTTAAGCAACTACTGAGAGGCTTTAGTCGCGTCCTCTTTTATCGGCGAAGCTAACAACCCCGAATGTTAATTGTTTCCAAAATTGGTCCCCTTATCACGTTTACGTTTTTTGTAGGATAATATAATTCTTCCCCATCCTTCGGTCATAACCTTATTCCCTTTTATAATTTCTAGAATTTTTAAACAAATTGTATATAAGTAAGAGAAATGTAAAAAAGACTCTAGATACTTTGGTAAATTATTTCCATTCCTTCATTTATAATGTAATAAAACCCAGAAATAACTCCTTCTGAATGGATTTCAAAGTCAGTAATTAAACTCAGCTTTAGATCATATTAGAGATAATTTAAGAGTACGCACGGGAACCCAGTCTTACGTTTGCCCCAACATGCATTTTATAGTCGCTCATGTCATACGTACATATATTGATATTTTTTTTTTATATGAGAGTAGGCAAACGAGTATACCTCACCTGATGGTAAGTAATTACCGCCCATGAACAACTGCAACACCAGGGGAATTGTAGACGCGTTGTCAGCCTTTTAAAAAGGAGTAAGCTCTTTTCTTGAAGGTCCCTAAGTCATATCGGTCGGGAAAAATCTCTGGTGGTAGTCGTTTCCATAAGGAAGTTGTACAAGAAAGAAAACTTCTTTTAAAGCACACAGTGGTGGACCGCCAGTCATCCAGATGGTATCGATGGTACAGCGAGTTTTATTAATTATTTAAGTAATGTCGTTGCCAAAAATATTTAAGTTTACTTCATCATTCATCATGCGTACGACGTTGCCAGCATCTACATATCTTTCCATCGGATTACAATATGGGTGTCTTCAAGTAAAGAGTAAATAGACTTTTGTTAAATCAGTGCGTTTTACCATTTACTGCCACATCACCACTTACCATCAGGTAACATAGTAGTCCAGCATTGGATTGTAATCTTTAAAAAAAGTCATAAATCTATGTGAGCACCTCGCCTTAAGTACATACACTAAAATTTTCCTAATGAAATGTTCTATAAGGTTATTCAGTTTCGTTAATATTACAGGTGAGCGATGACACAGAATTTTCCACAGTGTTACTTTTCCACGTGTCCATATAACAAGTGGACTAATTTTATTTAATTGACGGATAGTTAACGCAATTTGTAGTTCACTTGCTTCTGCCTCAAAGTTTTTGCGTTAGTATCCGAGGTTTGGAATGTGGCGTGACATCTTTTAAACCAATTTTAAAAAGCTGTTTGTGTTAGTATAGATATTAAAAGCTAATTTCAAAAAAGTGTAAAAGGAAAACGTTACGGTTATTTAATTGATTGTATATAATTCAATATGTTTGAAGTGAGTTAATCTAATACTTATTTATTTATTTGTAAGGATCTCCAACAGTTGTACATATTAAATTACTTCTAACACAAGCTTTCCATGCTTTCCATCTATAAATTATTATGTAAGTAGTTAGGTTGTACCAGTTCTGGCGC